TTCACATCCCTCCCTGAGTTCAGCTCCTTCTGCGCCTTGGCTTTCCTCATCCTATCTCTGCACACACGCACAGCAGCCCTGCGTTCGTAGCATTTAACTATTATTAAATAATAATAAGTAAAATAAAAATAAAAATAAATAAATAAATAAATACATTTTGGGGGAAAAAAAAAAAAGAAACAAAAAAAAGTTTACAATAAATAAATAAATAAATGAATAAATAAATAAGTAAAGTTACAAAATAGACTTCATTACTCTGACTAAACGATTTAATGAAAGACTTTGGATGATTTAGAATAGTTTTCATTGCAGAAGTTGTCCTCCATTTCTACATACAAACACCTGAGACAAACAAGGAAACCTTTGGTACCAAACTTGAATGCCTCTGATTTTCTGTTGTGTGGAAGTAAATTTTACCCGTGCCAACTTCCAGCTTCATCAATCACAGCTGACCAGATTCCAGCTCCCTCCAGTGATCTGCCTCAGCCCCATGAGTCCAACAGAAACACTCGGGCTGAAATTGCATCCAATGCTGCCTTGCACCTAAACTTCACCAAGGCAGCTCAACATCTGTTGTCCACTGCTACATTTTTGCTTTGGCACCACAACAAGTGAGCGCGACACCCACCTGGTTGCACAGCCCCACAGTTCCTGCTACAGGGTCCAAAGTGGATCACTGCTCTTACATAGATATTATTTTCCTCTACCTAAGACATTATTCTAGAACACAAATTCAGGATCATGTGAACTTCCTTGTCTCCACGCTCTGAGCTTTCTCCCTCCCTCCTCTTTCTCTGCCTGCCTTCTGCCTTTTTCAGTAGCTTATTACCTCCCACAGAAACCGCTGTCCTGGACTCAAAGCACACTGCCAGCAGCCATCCCAAGTCACAGCACTGGCCCAGCCCTCACTGCTACGTCAGGTGACTGTAAGTGTTGCTGAACTGATCTGAAATATGTTTTGTTCTGTCAGCTGCCCTCCTGTGTTCTGTCCCAAAATACAGCTGACGCCCTGAGCTTGGAGAAGCAGGCATTAAAGCACTGACGGGCATTGGAATAACAGAACAAGACATGAAATGTTGATGCTTTTATTTAAATTGCTCCTGACACTCAGCTACTAATTACAAATTGGAGGAACGTGCTAGGGGATTGGGGATGTCTGTGCACACAGGCAGAACCGCAGTTTCCCTCTCAAGATCTGACTCTGGTCGATCTTGGCACTGTCACACATGGCAAGATTGAGTATTTTTAACACTTCTTCAGCAGTGAAAAGTACTGTTTTTCCAGAAAAAAATACTCTGTGCACCCACGACTTTGGAAGGTGCTGCTGTTTAAAACAGACTGGAAGCAACGTAGTCCGTATGAACACCATCTATTAGCCCAGCTCCATTGTTATGAACAAACCAGCAGGGAACATCGAGGCCATGCTCAGGATCTCTTCTGTAATCCTTCTGCCAGCCCCTGCAAGGCAAAATACAGCCACACAAGTATCAAAGCAGAAAATACAAATTGGCAAAATAAGCTTTGCTTTGTCTTTTCTAAGGATTTGATTTTTGTTTCTTTTTTTTCTCTTTTTACCTTGTTACTATCAGTTCCTTGTTTTTAAATATCATTGTGGCATCTGGTTTCTTGGGATCAGACCCAGGATGCATTTCAAGTATGGCAAAGTCAATGGGGTGGAAAAACTGTCCTAAAAACAGAAGCCAAAATTAACATGTCAAGTATGCTGCACATACTGAAGCAGAAACAAAATGAGCAGAGCCCCCACAATGTCTGCATTGCCATGCTGCTTACCAAGGTCCCTCAGGGCTCTGAATGCACAAGCAAACACCAAGTTCTGTGCAAAGTTGCATGTATGACTACAATGTTATTTACTGAGCAGAAACTCTCTGGAATTCTCTGCAGACCATCTGGATGTGGTTCCACCTTCTGAAGGTAAGGTAAAATTGGCCTTTTCTAGATGGCCGGCCCTTCAGGTTACCTCACTTGGTGTCCTGTCTGCTCGCTGTATTTATGACATACCACTATCCAAGCCTTCAGCTTTCTTTGAATCAAATAATGCGTTTGTTGATCTCTGAAATCACTTGATGACACTGTGCTTAGAAGCAGCCTGACATCTAAGGGATCCTGTTCAGGACAGGATTACCTTCTGGGCTCCTTCCCTAAGGAACACAACTCTTCCTTCACATTACGGAACAGAAAAGTGTGCTGACATTGCACCCTTATTCTCTTCTCTGTTGCGTTACAGCATTTGCCAAGAGAGACAGACCCAACACCCTCATCCACACTTAGCTTGGCTCACTCTCCTCACACCTCCCAGTGCACACCAGGACTCAGAGGTGAGTTCACAGCAGCTCATTATTTACCACAATGACCCGAAATGCAGGTCTGCTGCCCTTACCTGATTTTGTAGGAGAAAATAAGGATGCAAGGAAAATGGCTGTGTGTGAATGGAAGTGTGAAAACACTGCGTACTTTTCAGCAGAGAAAGCACCACAAATCCCACTACACTGCAGGAAACAGGGATGCAATGAAGTCACAAGTTTCATCCCTCGTTTACCTGCTTTACCTTCTTCTAGAGTAATGTTATCTAACGTGAAAGAAATCCTAGGCAATACAAGGCATTCTCTGGTTTTCATACATGACAGTCAACCAAGATACACCTGAGCAGCTAGTTTTCTGCAGATGGGGCCTCCCAACAGCTGAGTAGGCAGGGACAGGCACCTCCCTCTCCCTGCTCCAGAGAGCAGTGCCCAGCTATGTCTACCTGCTCCTGAGGGGCACTTGC